AACTTTCAGCAAAGAGGACTCATTTCCAGTTTCTGTTACAGTATGTCAGATATGATTCCTAATATTAAAAATGCTTCCTGCATTCTTGAATATAGATTGAGCTTTTAGCAGGCAATTTACTAGCCCATGCAGCCCAAAGTGAACTGACTAAGATTTCTAGACTAAGACTGAGATAATCCATTAAGATTTTATGGACTATCCACAGAAACTCTTGGATCTGATTTAGTTTGACTAAAGCTCTGAGGGGGTTATGATTTGTTTGGGATCTTCCACCCACTTTCTGATGTATCATAACCATGGCACTGTACAGTATTTTACTGCCTCCACCTGTAGGAAACCACACTATGGACAAATTTAAGAACTATTAAAAATGAGTGCATTCATGTGGAGATAAAAAAAATCACAATGTTCAGTGTATTATACACCATAAACAACAAATATCAGTGTATTATACATCATACATAACAAATAATCAGTCAATTAGATTTGCCTGTACCAGTATACTGTACCAAGAAAATCATTATTTACCCTGTTTCCTTCCTCACAGCGGGTTACCATCACAATAATAGAGCACTGCTGTTCCCAAATCATTCTCCAGAAATCATTAACTGTCTCATCCTTTGGCCCTAAAAGGGACAATATAAAGAATGTCAGTTACAGTAAAACTATAGTACAGAAGGTAAATTGACAAAACACATTGGAATTGTTGTAAAATAGCTTCAATATGGTTTATTGAAAAGGTTTTTATTTTTTACAATCACATAAACAAACATCAGTTTCTAAAACCTAGAATTCTATCTCACAATAAAAATAGTGTACTGTTATTTAATTTGTACTGTGAATGTAGAAAAGTTTTCTTGAGGAGTTAGACTTGTTTTTTTTTGTATAAATGACAACATTCTGGTCTACTTTTTCTTGACTTGGTCTGAAACGTTTTAACCATGCACAAAGTAAATGTAACAAAAGAAAAATCAAACCTTGTGCAGCAATGTACTTCCTTGGTTCTTTATAACCCTGTAAAAAATATGTTTGATAATTTTTAATATTATACATTATACATATTATACATTATACAAGTTAATAATACAGTACATGCATAAAACAGAAACTCTTATGCTGTTAGTCTAAAAACATAAAATTAATCTGTGAAAAGCTAATACAGTATGCATATGTTTTTAGATGTTTAAGTAATCATTAGTGCTGATTACAAGTTAACCAGATCATTGCTAAAATCTTAATTCAGAAAAAAACTTTAAATCACTTTAAATAATTATTAAGCTATAAGAATATTTCAGAATAAACTGTCATTACTTACATCTATAAAGCTTGCATTGATATAGTCAGAACCTACTTCTCCATTTATCATGGAAAGCTGGACACGGTTGTAATCATCTGTCAAATGAATAAACGTTAGCCATCTTAAAAATAAAACATTTTCTTATAAAATGCTGTATTCAATAAATTTCTGCTAGGGAGCCGAGAAAGTTGGCAGGACTTACATGGCAGGATATCAACATAACGGTTCTTATTCTGGTTGCAAGCTTTCCTGGCATCCTTGACAGCGAATTTGCTGAAAACTCTTGGAATGCTCTGGAAATAAAATTGTACTTTTACCAAATATGCACACATGGTTTATGCACTATATGCACTACATGGTTTCCATGTAGATTATTGTAGCACTGTGCTACAATAGAAAATGCAATTTAATACATCCACTTCTTAAATGATGTTTGTCTTCTAGATGTAGGGTATTTGATTTTATATGCTTCCATAGCTCGCCATTAGAGCACTTTAGTATCAAATGGCTCTTTCATTCCTGACAATTAATTTCCTTGTCGTATTGCAAGTATTGCAATGGACTGAATGGGAAGAGTCATATCTCTGTGAATGTCAGCTTGCCCTCCCGTGTATTCATGCAATCTGATTCAGCCACTTGGGCTGTCCGTACACAGTATGGGTGGTTGTCAGTACCACCTGCCTCTGATTGATGGGCACGTAACTAGTTAACATCTACAGTATTTAAGTCCTGACTACCCCTGCTCTAGCATTCTGTCAATGTGGGTTTCCCTCTAAGAGTCCTGCTAGTTGTATTTTTGTTCATTGTCTCTTTGCCTTGTCAGCTTGTTGCAAACGACCCTCTGCCTTGTTTCCTGACCATGTTCCTGGATCCTCCCAGGCTTTGTCTGCTTTGAGGTTACCCGGCTACGAACTTGTCCTGTCTGACTTTGTATTTTTGGAAACTCTGATTCCTGCTCCCTGTTCATCTCCACCTTCATCTAAACTCTCTGTGTACCAATCAGTCCAAGTGATCCAGCACCTTGCGCCAATGTCAGTAGTTGACATACGTGTTGTCAAGATCAATGCGATTTCTACAGTATAAAATACATGCAAACATGCAAGACTGACAAATTTCAATCAGTTGTGTGATTTTGTAATTGTATTTATGTAAATGTTTTTTGCGAGATCAGTATTTTATTTGTAATTACATTTCATGTACTAAACAGCCCTCCTTCAGCTAAGCAATACATTTTATTGGTTACAGAAGGAAAATGCAATTACCTGAAATTCCGCCAGGAAGAGTCTTCCCTCATCTGCGACCTTCCTTTTATAAGTGTCCAGCAAGTGCTCTGCAGATATGGGCTCAACATTCAAGAGCTGTGCTTCATCTTCTGCTGATGTTACAGAAAGTACAAAATTAGAACAGAAAATAAGAAAAAATATAAAATAATAAATGCATACCAGACATAAATGGGAGTTTATGAAGAAAAGCACTTACGAGTGATGAGTTCTAAGGTTTCCTCATTGTTGCTGTAAAACAAAGAACAGCATGAGCAGTTGAAAATAAATTTGTGATTTTGCATCTTTACAAAAATGAAATGGCTAAAACATTCAGAACCTGTGATAGGCAGGAAACATTTATTGTTGTCTTAAAATACCACTATGTAGAAATCCCTTGGGGCTTTTCATGTTACCAAAAAAATAATTATTCAGTAATGGGTTTCATATATTTTATAGCTTATACAGTATACAGTAGTTCTACAGTATATCAGAATTTACAATAGGAAATAATATAAATGTATGGCATTTGCTTTGAATTATAAATCAATACAAAAAGCTTTAGGTGCATCACAAAGCAAGTAAAATATAGTGACTTAGATGAGACAAAAAATAGCCGAACTATCTTAAGAGTGGTTTAACTTGTTTCCTGTCTATAAACATTAAATAATAACAGTAAATTCTTGACACTATCTTAGAACATCTGGTCCAGGTCAGTATTTGCTTATTTTAGGATTAATGGCTACTTGACTACCACAAGACTGAGACCAAAATTGTGTCATTTTGCAGTATATGGAAGCAAAAGTTTTTAACTGTGCAGACGTTTACTGCACAACACCATTACACAGAGCATTGAAACAGTATTAACTCCCTCAAATGATTCCTCATCTTACAAATAATGTGTTTTTCATCAAAATTTGAATACTTAAGCTAAACACTTTTATTGGTAAAACAAGTTAAAAGATAGCGAAAAAAAAGGTTGATTGTACAGTAACTATTCACCACCTTGAATCATTACTTGGTGGAAGCAAATTCCCGAGTGATTACAATTGCTAGTTTACTTTATCTCGAAACCATCACCAAGCAACAATGTTAACAATGTCTTAACCTATCAAGAATATTAGAATGGTTACAAACAAGGTTGCAACAATTTCCTGTAACCAATCATGTTGAATGAACAGCTAATCAGTATTTCTGATGTGAGTGGAATAGAACCAATCTTCTCTCATTTAACTGCAAGTACTGCAGCTGTATTATCCAAGAGTGTTTACATTTCCAACAGTAAACATACAGTAGTTTTGGAATCCCTAGACATTACAGGGCTGTTGAATCGTAGTGAATTTAAATCCATTGTTAATTTTCTAAATTATTTATCTTCAAATATTTGCTGTATCTCTGCTTTTCTTTCAAAGAAAACCCAGAAAGCCACTTACTTAGAGTTCCTTTTCTGCAGCAAATAAATTTTATAAAGAACAAAAAGAAGAGCTACAGAAGTCACAATGATAAGGAATGCCAGGAATCCTATGAGAGCTTTGTCATTATCTGAAAAACAAAATACAAGAAACTGAAACAAACCTTTTTTAGTGAAAGTTTGAATAACAAATAAGGATTCTGATCCTTAGTCCACAGAAAACTGACCTGAATAGGCATGAACCTGTACTAAACGTATGCACAAATGTCTGTGATTTAGATTCAAGAGTTACACTGTTAACATAAAATTGACATTCAAAATACAATGACTAATATTAGCAGGTTAAAAGAAGGTATGTTATTGTAAAATAAACAACAAAAACATAGAAAACTTATTTTAAATTGTATGCTTTATTATTGTATAATGTAAATGATTTATTTTGAATTAAGGATTGCATCTCTTGTTTTTTATAAGTTGTCAGAATAGATAATTTATCTATTGAACAGGAATGACATGAAGGCATTACAGTTTCTGTCTGTAGGGACTATGTAATGTCTGCAACTACTAAACAGCTACACCAAATACATGTTGAATAAAACATACGAATGATCACCAAATAAATGTTGAAAAAAACAGACAAATGATCAGAGTACAAACTCCACTCCACACAACACACCAAGACCCGATTTGAACACAGGACCCCAGCACTACAGAGCAGCAATACTTTCTATTGTGCCACCAGTCTGCCCTTTTTTGTAAAAAAAAGAGTACTGAGTGTTTTTGTGTAACTATTTATTACAGTATAAGCCAAACTTAATAAACTACAGTTCAGTAAATCTATACTGGATAAAGGCTGGTAAAAGCAAAATAGGACACAAGGATTAAACCCTTTCCTCCACGTCTGTAGTTTCTTCATCTGTGGTTTCGTGTACGTGTGGTGTCAGTACAAGTCTTGCCTGTGAGGTATTCTTAAACTTCTAGAACATTGTCAGAGGCCAATGCTTCTCAGAGTATCTCTGAGGCTTAGTTCAAAATTTGTTAAAAATAATTTCCTTACATTTACTCTTCATCACTTCCTGTTTCTCAATTCACTTACATCCGAACGTCAATGCTGAGCTAAGACAGACAGAAAGACCCGGAAATATATAGTCCCAGAGAGAGAGAGAAACACCGGAAGGACAGCAAAGAACCGCAAATGAGAGATAGGACAGAGAAGGAGTGCCCTTTGGCTGCAGAGGACGTGACACCATCAATGGTTACTCAGACAGGTCTATTCAAGCATGTGTTCATTTTGGCTTCATGCTTCCTTCCCATGATAACTACGTCATGTGCATGGGAAAAAAAGCATGTTCTGAGAGCACTGGATGGCAGTTCTACCTGCAAGCCATTCCAAGAGCAGGTGGAGAGATGGGCTTCCACTGGCAAAGTACCATTTTTAAGTGTTTCTGTGGACTCCATGTCCTATCACAGTGAGAAAAGCTCCTCCTGTAATTTAATGCTTTTGCATCAGTCTGGAGGTCCTCACAATACATCTTCCCCACACCTCCTCCAGAGGTTTCCTACTACACTGTACTGAAAGCAGACACCTCAGACAGGTCTGTGTGTTGATATCACCATTGTCGCTTTTCTCAATCCCTCAGATACAGGCAACTCACAACTTGCCCATAGCAAAGACGTGCTAAGAGAGTCCACTCATTCATCATCCAACAGGGTTCACCATCATCCACATTGATGATTAAGATCACTGTTTTGCCTGAATACTGAAACTGCTGATGTCCTACCATCCTGGTCTCTATGCACAACAGTTGAATAGACTGACACAAAGATCAGATGAATACTGAAAGATCTTGCAGTCACTGACAACATTCACTGCTCTTCCCTTCTCCTTCAGATTTGCATTACCATTGTTCATGAATGATAATGCATGGTTAGTGACAGAGATGCTAATTCTCCGATGAGGGAGATGAGTTTGTCTTCTGGATAAGGATCTTTCCAAGGCTTTTGAAGACCCAGTACCATTACTCCCTATGATGTATTTCTATCACTGGTGCATGGATGTCTAGAAGAGAGCCATAGGCCATAAGCATCTGGACATGATTTTAAAAGTCACAGGGCATGGTTAATAACCCAAAAAGATGACCAACCAATCAGGGACATGCAGGATGTGAAGACACACTCCTCCTGGTGAATTGTTAACCAAGCAACAAATGTATTTTCTGCAGTTAAAAAGTGGTACATATCAGTCTTAACTCTGCTTCTCTCTGTTGAACCAGCTTGGCTGGCTAACAACAGAAACACATTATTACTGTACCACCCCTGTTGTCTAAACTTTGTGACTTAAGATTTATCCTGAAGCCCTGAATTGGAGAGTTAGCCCGTATGCAAAGAGAGTTCTTCCTGACCCTTCCTAGCCTGCAGCAAGGACCTCACGACAAGCTAGCTGCCACTGTGCGACCATTTGATCACTGAAGGAATACAGATGGACTTTGATCAACATGCCTGAATTTCTCATTGTTCGGTAGTAGGGAGCAAACTGAGTTTCTCTTCTTTTTGTGTGACTCATCCTGACTGAGCATCCACCAGCCTGTACACAGACTGTGTCCCAGTTAACATGGACATTCCACTGGAGAAAAATGACTGCTAGTGCAAGGCCACAGCAGGATTATTTACATAAACCCTAAACTGTCTTTCCTGACACAGAATAGGCAGTCAAATGTCTTGTCCGACTAATGTCCAATTCATAGCAGGAATGGCTATTTAACTGTTTTTGACTTAATTGCTTAATGAAAAGGTAGTACAGTATGATTCCGTTACAAAGAATGTGTTATTACACTTTTTTTTCAATGTTACTTGTATTTTTATTATTTTAAAACAATCAAAAGTCCATTTTCTGCATATTTTTAGTTTGATATCAAATATAAATAATGGAAAAAATGTCCCACAGTCTTCCTATAGTTCGTTAAATAGACTAATGTAAAATAGAAGACAAAATATTTTATTTAGTACCAGCTGAAAACCAACAATACCTCTGCCATGAATATCAATACCTATCATTACCTCTGCCATTTATAGCCAAATAATATGGGCTTGGACTTTTATTTTCAACTACATACCATCCTCTAAACTACAAGGCTTGTTAAGGTATCTTAATATTAATTTATTAATCTGTTAAGTAATGTAGTTCTCTTAATTGTAATATCTGCTTCCTAATATAGAAATACTATATATTTATAACATATACTATATATTTATAAACTACAGAAATGTAAAGTCTCATTTTAAACAAAATAACAGGATTTTGGAACAAAGCATAAAGTGTGTTCATTGCTTAAGATGAGTAAAGAAAAACTTACATTTTGTGTGTATTGAATAAAATGATTTTTGACCTTCATTCTTCGTGTTATTAGCCCAAATCTAAAATAAATATAATGAAATAAAGAAATTCATGAATACACACATAATAGACTATTCTCAATTACATATGATCACGTACCAATACTTTATATAAAATATTATATAAATTAACATTATATATTTCCACAGTAATTCAGCACTGATTGTAAAAAGAAGTTACTTTTTAGCAGTGATTAGTGCCTTTATTAAACAGTTTAAGGACCCTGACAAAAACACAAAAAAACAGAAATCTAATCATTGCTTACTTACATCATCATCGATATTTTGATAATGAAATGTGTGTACATGTACAGAAAAGGACTTAGAAGAGTTTGAAAATAGACTCACTTACCACAAATGTATAATTTGTGAGATAATCCAGATCATCAAAAACAAAGTCACAATTTTTACTTTTTTGGGCTGTATAATCTTTATCTTTTATTTGTGCCTTAAAAAACCCACTTGGTCCATTAAATGTGACCGGTTTATCGCAGGTTATTTTCACTGTATTGTGGGGATTCACTTTTCCTTGTATGTTTTGCACTTTTTGGGGGGCTGTGAAAAGAAACCATTACTAGAATACAAAATCATTTAAAATTACCAAAAATAGACATCAATCAATAAGTGAGCAGTACTGCACAAAAAAATGTTGGATTTATATTACTGTGGATTTATATTAAGAGTTGTCCTTCATCAAAATGTTCACTCCTCCTTTTACTGTTAACAATGCCTCCTGCATACACATCAAACAGTCTTCCTCTCCCCTTTACAGCTTGTCCTTGGTTTGTTTTGCCTATTCAGCCCTGAACACTGTGAACTTATTTGGAGGATAGATTGATGCTATTTTAAAGTGGCTGTAGTGGTTTTCTAAATAGTCCACTCTTTAAATACCTTTTAAACCTTCATATATTTTTAACATAAGTAAAAAAATGTGTTAATTGTATGATGTGATTCCCTTTCTACATTGTTTCCAGTGTCATTAAATGAAAAGGCTGGCTTCTGATGTTGAATCATAAACATTTCAACACATTTTATGAACTGCATGAATTACTGATTGTGTACACAATATTACAATATTAGTTTATTAACACAGCATGTGTTATTATGGACTGAACAGTGTAAATTCACAGTAAGAAAATATTTTCTACCAAGATTTTGCTTTGTTGGTAGCCAGCCTAAAACAATCATTCCATCTAATATTTTTTTTTTACAATTTTCACTACTGTATGTGTCTTAAAAGTGTCTTTGTTAAGATTATGGGCTAATCTTTTTTTGATTTGATGAAAAAATAAGTAATTCTTCTTAGTTGAGGTTTTCCTACAAAAAAGCTATTTGAAGAAAAGAAACTCAAAATACTATACTATACTATACTATACTCTTATCAAGCTGAATCGGTGTGGATGGATTACATTAAAACAGTTATAATCCACCAGCCTCTGGGGTACTGCATGTACACTGGAAATGTTTTAATATATAATATATATTAAGATATAATATAAAGTTTAATTAACAACTTCCTACTCTGACAAATCCAATAGCTTAAAGGCCACAGTGAGCATTTTTTTCCTTCGAATATTCTCTTAGCTGCACCTCTACCTGTTACCTGTATGAGGATCATGAAGATTCCTTTAAAGTGTTCAAACTGTCAAATTTAAAAAGAATCCTGTTTACTTTTAACGGTTTGCTGTACTGCGCTAAATGTTTGTTTTTTTTCCATCTATGTAGTTTAAGGTTTAAACTCTATTGGTTATTTGAAAATCTTTTCCCGGAATTACACTAACATACTGTATTCTTTTTTCTTTTGTGTGGGAACTTGCAATATGAATACATGCTTTAATCACAATTTTATGATTGTTTCAATTTAGGCATGGTAATCCACTTGTGTGTGCACTGACTAGCTCTGTTGGTAGAGCATGAGACTCATTATCTCAGGATAGTGGGTTTGTGTCCCACGTCAGGCATAAGGTTCTCCAATAACCCATACTGGGCAGCAGCAGTGTGGGGTGATGTTGGCGGTGGAGGATCATGTTTCCATGACAATAGCAACAACACTATCACGATCCTGCACAGATGAAAGGCCGGGCAACCTACTGCTGTATCTTGCTATGAAAACTCTTTGGATAGTGACGGGGGAACAATACCTAGGGTCTCCATAAATCAACACTGACTTGATGACACTCAACAGCAACAACAATCCACTTACAGTATGTATTAATTCTCTGCAGTGCCGTGGAAAATCATTGCAATGGTACAGTAGTAAGCTTATTTGACAGAACTGATGGCTACAAAAATAGAAGATACTTCTTAAAGTATATTTTGTAAAGGCATAATATTATAATAATACCATTAGTTATTTTTTACACAGTACACTGAGAACAGCAATATTGTTGTGGAGATTCTCTTTTAACAAAATACGTAGCCTAAATGAAGAGCCAGATCAAATTCTTTGTGTGGTGTGAATGAAAGAGTGAAAAAGATTATCTTTTGTATCTTATATCTATCTTATATTTATAACATTATTTTTAATTCTGAGAATCAAAAGTTCTAAAGAATGAAGTTGTTTTTTCAGTTGAAGAATCATTACTCATTGGAGTGTAATGCAGTATGTCAAAATGCATTACAGTATATTGATAAATATTGCTATTAAGTACATTAATTGAAGCAATGTTGTTTAATACTTACTTCCAATTTTTGTCTGGTTTCTCATGCTCACATTCTTTTTTTGTTGGTTATTGTATAAGGCAATCACATGGCATGTGTAATTTGTATACGGTTGAAGGTTACTCTCAGTTGCTTTGTGTTCAGCCTTTCCCTCTAAAACTGCAAAATGCGGCAAATGTTAGTACAATGAATCCTTTACAATGAATTTACTTTACAAGCAAATATAGAATAGAATATCCCATTTTCTCTTGTAGCAACATACCTAAATGAAAGATATAGGTAGGTAATACAATTTACACAGTAAGAAAAATACTCATCATACTACACAAATTATTCGCAATGGACAGAATCGCTCACTTTTGAGTGCTTTTTACAGCAAACTGAAAATGTATAATCCCAAAGTTAGAATTACTGCAACAAACTTAATGAACTTGATTTGAATCACACAACGGTGAGTCCTGACAGTGCTGAAGTACCCGTTTAAACATTGACACTCATTAGAATGACCAGAGTTCAAATGTCCACTTCAGTTGCTGAAAAGTATGTGTCTTCCCACAGTAAAAGATTTCTATAAGATAATAATCCTTACTATCAGAGAAATGATGGACCACAAATGTGCACAATTGATTAAATACTTACAAAACTACTTTTGCTGAAACCAATAAAAAACAGGCTTTTGATCAGTTTTATCAACATAACAGTTATATTGTGTCACCAAGTGAGATACTGTAAGTAAAAAATGGCATGAAATAAAAAAATCAAAATCTTACTTGTTTTTTTTTTGTTATATTTACTTACTCTAACCTGTTTTCGATCTTTCACTATCAGGACATGGTAAAAGACAGATTTTCATAATATGTAAGTACCAAAAATGGCACTCATTCAGGCTGAAACCTACACTAAATAGTGAATTATTTACTGTAATTTATACAGAATTATTATACTGTATTTTAATACCTCACAAATTATTATTGTAACATTAGCAATTAGCTGCTAAGCACAATTGTCTGAGCATTGTAGAATTTTAGCACTTCACATGTTGTAATTGAACCAAAGCCACAGGCATTTAATTGACCCAACTGACTTAATGATCACGGTTTCAAGATTCATGGTATTCAGAGAAATAGAAATCCTTATGCGCTGCATCAAAAAAGGACCCTGCCCATGACCCAAAATCATAAAAATCTTCTCTTTACCCATTACAGAGTGGTCACAGAATCATTGTTATAAAAAAACAAATTATATTTGTGACTTTAACTTTTCTTAAAGGTTAAATGTAAAACTACTAACTACTATTACTATCATTTTATAGTCCATTAAATGTGATAATCCATTAATAAAAACAAACATACTTCCATAATTTTGATTTGGTTAATTAAGGTTTTTTTAAAACTGTTTCATTAACTAATCTGAAGCCACAAGCAGTATAACCCATTTCCTTTTTATTGTTTACCATTATGTTTTTTTTTTATTTATACGAACGGTACAGAGAGAATGTATTGGTGTAAACAGATCATTAAAATGTCTGTAATTATGTTTAGACTTTAACAGTGTTTGAGAAATACACACTGTAGACATTATGATTTAGCAGAGAAAGAGAAAGAACTTACTTGTAAGATTTGTGCTTGGTTGGTCTTTCTTTTTATCATCTCCTAGAACATATTTGTAACAGAGTTTATTACTGTTATCACCATAGAAAAAAAGTTTACAGTTTTCTCGAACAATACTGTATGTGGTTAACTAAAGATTGAGGAATACATAGCTAAACAAAGATTAAGGTGGAATAAAATCACACAGAATATTTAAATATTAAGTTTGGTTGTATGGTCTTTGAGGGGACTATTTAACAGTGACCTGGCACTAGGAGCTGTTTAGGCCTCTATTGTTTGTAAACAGGCACAGTAGCTGATAATTATTAATTAAAGAGACTTTTGGTGGTGGTTAAATCCCTTTTCTCACATGGGATATAATAGGTAATGTTGGGGATATGAAGGAAAGGACATCAAGTTCAGTTTAATTGTTGGTAGGAGTTTAATTGTGGAGGATGAGGAAGAGGATTTTTTTTAAAACAGGCTCTCAGCAATAAGTCTCCTGCACACATGTGTCCATTGTGATTTTAATTACTGTATTTTTAGATTCCTCAAGCCTCCCTAGTTAAGAACAGGGCCTGATATGATATATTAAAATGTTACAGTTGTTCTTAATCTGGGGGTGCAAGACACTTTTTTTTTAGAATTTTTTAAATACAAAATTAAAATAATTTTAGGATGAAATACTGTATATAGAATATATTTATGATATATAGTATCTTAGATTTTAAGAACCAACTTGCTGTAATGATTTTTGATAAGAGGTGCAAGAACATAGAGACCAAAGGGTTGCAGGCTGCAGTAAAGGTTAACACTGCAGCTAAGGTTAGCAACCAATCATCTAAAATACTGTGTACAACTTTGGTCATTGTATATGATAGGATTATATAATAAAATTATATATGAGACTATTGGGAATGTCATATTCTTCCTATTCTTACAGACTGCATTAACTAAATATTTTTTAGGCTTGAATAGAAAAAAACTATTCAAGTACCCTAATGGTATTAAAAAAGTAATCCCAATGGATATCTGGAGAACTAATAGTGAAATATAGATGAAACTAGAAACTAAGGGCAAGTGCATTTAAAACAAAGGACAGCATGCACTTTTCCTAACAAATGTTTGTGGGGGCGTGGAACAAGCTACGCTATCCAAAGCTTTGGCAAACTTCAAGAAACATTGGGAAGAGATACTCAGCCCTTAGCAACCAAACATCTAGATTCCTCTTCCTCCAAGTTGAAGCTTTTCTTGCGTTATACAGTAAATGCAGGTATAAGTACTGTGGACATGTAGTTACAGAAAGTGGATGATCATGTTCTTAAATGTATCACCAGTTATTTTGTTCATGTGGAACTAAGGAAACTGAACATTCACTTTATACTAAGTAATGGCAAGAAAAATGTAATTATAGCTACAGTACAGAAACAATATCAAAACATATAAAAAAATTATGTCTTAGTATCAGAGGTTTTAGTATTATTCAATGAGTTATTTTAAAGTAAAATGTATACTTACGTGAACAAAAATAAATACATTGAAATTCAACAGAATTGCACTGTTTTTCTGTTTTAATTTCCCACACAAGGTCAATTGATTTTTCTTCTGCGGTTAGGTTCAGCGTCATATTAATATCTAGGAACCAAGAATATGCATGAGTACAACAGAACAGATGGTTCAATTTTATTTTAATACACATTTACAGTATTTATATTTACTATACAATGTCTGTGTGTGCAAAATGTTGAAAGCTTACTTAAAGTGCTTCTTTAAAATGATAAGGATTTTGTAAGGGGTCTCCCATGAGACTTAACAGGTAAAGACATTCACTGAGTGCAGACTGAACTCTGTGATCACAGGTTCGTGACCAATTCCCAATTCAAGTTGACTGTGACTGGGATTCCAAAAGTAGGAGGTGGGGTGCAAAATTGGCTGAGCACCCCCAAGGGTACAGTTTGATTAATTGGATGGGGCTCTTTCAGTGGTACAGTGACCTCCTGGTGTTTGCAGGCATGTGGTGCTGTTGGCTTTCATCTAAGCTGCACTGAACCTCCAGTGTGAGGCTGCGTTGCTTGTGATGTATTAAAATACAAGTGGCTTGAAGTTGGGCTGGTTGGAGGAGTCTGCCTTGAAATCTTTTTCTCTTGTGTTGAATTGTTCATTGGTGTAGGTTGAGACCAGAAAAAAAACACACAGATTTGGCTATTCCAAATTAGGTGAGTGTAATAAAAATTTGTTGGTTATTATCTTTTTTTATGTATTATAGCAGAAAAGGGTGAATATACGTGTACTTACCACAGTCAGTAGTTATAATTTTCGTTTTTCTTGTGCTGATGTTTTTGTATTTTGCGTTTGCCTCGCATGTGTAGGTCTTATATGGTGTTAGTTTTTCAAAAATGTGTTTGGATTCATTCTCTGTGCCTACAACAAAACAGATAAAATCATATTCAGTCTTTAAACACAAGAAGTGTAGCTCAGGAAGTATTTTATATAAAGTGAGCAGATAAAAATTAAATAATGATTTAAATAAATGAAGCATGAAACAGAGATTAAATTGTATGCCTCAGTTGCAGATTATACAGAAATAGCTCCTAATGTCAGAATTCCCTATTTGAATCATCATTCAAAAATGAAAATTAAGAGTACGTGCTACAACTACAAGCTAAGACTTTTTCTAAAAAATGGTTGTGGGAGTTTGAAACAAGTTACCCACACACGCTGTCTAAGCTGATAACATCCTTTCAGGGAAAATGGTGGATGAGATCCTTGAAATAATTAACTAGCAGCCAGTCTAGATGGGAAAAATGGCCTCTCCTTATTTGTGGATTTTTTCCTTGTGTTTTCATAAGCGTTAAAAGAAAATGTGTACTCACTGCTATTATGTGTTCCATCACAAGTATATTCAAATTTCAAGCCTGCACAATTTTGCGTCACCTTTTCCCATTCAAGAGTGATGGTTGTGCCATTCTGCGCCGATTGTAACTGAAATGTGTCCAAATCTGGGACAAAATAAATAATATAAACCTTTCAACTTCTGCATTCCTTGCATGAATCAGAAACAAGGTGAGACTAAAGAGATTTCATTCTTTTACAGTCTCAACTTCATTTGTTCCAAATCATATCAATATTTTACTTGAAGAATCATGCTGTTTATAAACTATCACAATTTTAAAATAAAACCATACTTTCCTATAGGAAAGACTGTAGTGCAAAGCTCTATACACTATACTGGTAACATACCTGGATTCACATTAATTGTTATTGTGCGTTTTTGATTTCCTGATGTGACACTACAGTTATAATCTTCACATTCGTTCAATGTAGATAAAAAGACACAGTTTCTCTCAAATGAATTGTTTTTATTTTGACAGTTTATTTTTAGATTGTCTGATGAGTTGTTTCTGCAGAGTTTGGATGTTTTGTTGACATCTATGGATAATCCATCTGTTAAATCTGAAAAGAAAAGAAAAATCTTATTTTTTATAAACTTTTTTCATTTAAAAAAAACTGTATAATGGCGTTTACAGTATATGCAGTAAGGTTTCCAGGTTTCCAGTTAAAAGGAGGAACTTTCCACTCTTACTGTAAATACAACTTAAGTGAATCATTAGATGGTAAGGAGTTTTTGAGTCTAATTTACAATGCCAAGATATTCCATCAGTAACATTCCAGTCCCTATCCTGAACAGGAACAACATCCAAGGGTTTGTATAGAGCCTCTAACAGATAATAACAGCATGTAAAAATGAATACAATTGAATACTAAGATACCTAAAGTGTTTGCCTAGAGGCCCACGTCAGTCAGTTTTCTAAATATCGTAATTATCTTCTTTTTTAAAGAAGAAGGCTCCACGGACGAAACGTTGTGTTCTCTTTCTTCTTTTTTTCAGCATGGAATAAACCTTTTACTTGTTCTTTTGCAGCCTACGCATGCTGACGCAGCTACCCACCTGAACTTCTTTTTTAATTGTTCAATTCAATTCAATTTATTTTTATATAGCGCCTTTTACAACAAGGTTGCCCCAAGGCACTTAACAAAGCTGTGTGACAATACCTGACATTACAATACAGAAAGAGAAAAGCCCAGAAGACAACAGAGGAGAGATTATTTTATTGTCTATAAAATATATAGGGAAATGTTGAACACAGAAAAAGTGTGTTTTGAAGGAAATAGAAATTATTAACCTATTCCTTAATAGCAGTGGTATTAATAGTAATTACTTAATAGCACAATAAACTGTTCTTAGTAGCATAAACCTTTTGCTAAAACCTCCATCAGATACAATGTCTTTACACATTTATTTAATTATCTATAAAAACATGCAGATCTAATGATTTTTGGTTCATACTGTACAGTATGATATAGAATATAAAATTAAATACATATTATATAACTTAAAAATTGTTTTTAAGACTATACAATAGTTCTATAAAATGCCAATATTTTCATTGCAATACAGTAAAAAAAACAGAATGCAAACTGAACCCTTTGCTTCAACACAATAATCAGTTAGAGACTAAGCTTTATCATTGGTCTCCTGTGACTGGGTACAGAATGATCATTGATGAGGCTGGGTGGATTATAATCAGCTGAGATGGTTCTCTGAGATGTTGCTTTTGATACAAACATGTTTCCTGGGATCTGCAGGACAACTGCAAGCTTTCAGTTAGATTACAGACATGCCACTCCTCTAGGTAGCACTAACATTTCCTGGGAGGCATTGTGGAGTTTGTAGATTACCAAACCATTATCTTAAAAGTCTGGGCATGTCATTGGAATATATCCACAAGTATAGGGTATGCATGGTACAGGGTTTGTAGCCATACATCTGAGTTGGTCATTCTAAATTGTAAGGGTATAAAATAGAAAATAATTGGCAATTCCAAATTTAAAAATAAATTTCCTGTCAGAATTAATATTCCTAGCTTTAAACCTGTAAATTCTACATTGCAAAAATTCTTAGTGTGGTTTATTTGATAGTAAAAGTAATAATCCATTTTCAATAGTTAAGGACAGAGACAACATACAAAAATGATACAGTGGGCTTTGATTAGTTTTTAGACAGACATGTCATGATATCATACAAAGTAAATATGAGAGGCATAGATTATAATGAAAGCCGAAAGACATGTATATTTTGATTATGATGGAAAAAATAAAAGATTGGACTTACTGATTCTTTTGCAGTCATGGGATGTTGTATTCTTACACACAAGAATTTCCAAGTTATCTGAGAAGATGACAATACATTTTATAAGACTTTAGTTTAGTAAGCAGTTTACATTCAATATCACCATTAAATATATGATACAAAAATTAATTAGGTATAAGAGTTTCCCTGGAACTGTGGAAATTGTCTTCCCAAACTCTTTTTTTCTGCCTTATAATGTATGTGAAATCACAGGATGCATATTATTTTATTTAAGTGAATATACCACTCACTACAGTGTCTATTCAGTCACTCAACTTGTATTGTACAATATATAAATGAATAAATACTGTTTATGAACATCTATATAAGCAACTATTCAAAACTGTTCTTTCCAATTAAAAGGGCCTTTCTGTCATATGGATGATTCCTGGGTTTCAACAGAAAACTTATCATTCGAAGTGCAAATTAATTGAATGCTACGTTTGTCAGGAAGACAAACTGTGATAAACATGAAGGTAGCAGTTACTCTGAGAAATTCTGGGAAAAAGAAACCCCAACCTGCAGCAGAGGGGGTGGGGGAAGTAGCTGAGTTAGAAACAAGAGTCTGTGCTGTCGTGTTGACAGTGACTGTAGGTGAGGAAGATGAGACTGTGGTGCTGATGTTGGAACTAGTCCCTCCTGAAAATCGACCAGAATAATTAGTTAACTCAGTTAGTTAGTGAAATAAGCAATGCATGCATTTTGTATTTTTAAACATACTGTACTTTAAATGAGATTTTCACATTGATATTAACATAACTGCAGATATTCTAGGATTAATAAAATATTTTTATGTAAGTCGGGGCCATTTTGTCCTCAAAATTGTATATACTTATATAAATATAAAAGACATAAAATATCACTTATTTGATATTGTAGTTTTAATTTTTAGAGATGAGTTTGTAATATAATACATTTCACATCAAAAGAACTTAAAATGTCAGTTTTTATTACAGGAAACTTAAACCTATATTATAAGATAATATACGTTGTCTTCAAATATGATATCATTTATTCAATGTTGTATTTTTCATTTTTTCAGAGGTGAGTCAGTCTAGAATTAATAAATGCTACAAAAAAGAACAGAATAGGCCGGTTTTTAATTTTAGGAAACTCAAACCCATAGATATGTACAATTCTAGTAGATCCGGTCTAGTAGAACATGGTAGGCCCATAAATCAGAAATTCCCTGTGCTTAAAAGAACAGAGCAGCAAAAGAGGACTGATATTCCATGTAGCCAAGCTACAGTACTTCATCAAAAAATGAATTCATGAAATATAAGCCATGGTAAAACTGTTTTTCTCTTTCCAGTCTCATATGTATGATACATCTTAGCTAGTTCTGCTCACCAAGAGATCTCCAATATAATCGTATTACAAATTTTGAGGATGGGGATGCTGAATTTTTAGATTTTCAAGAACATAAGAAGATTCTGAGGGAAAAGAAACCCCCAACCTGAAGATGTAGGGGTGGGGGGTGTAGTTGAGTTAGAAACACTAGAGTTTGCTGTCGAGGTGACAGTGCTTGGAGGTGAGGAAGATGAGACTGTGCTTGTGAGGTCAGAACTCCCTGAGCGGGTGCTTGCGGATGAGATGCTGGACGTGGAATCAGTTCTTCCTGAAAATTGACCAGAAGAGGTAGTTAACTTGGTTAATGACTTCAATTAGCAATTCATGCATTTTACATTTTGAAATCTATTCCTTAATTTAGATGTACAGTACCATATTATCATATACTGCAGGTATTTTAAGATAAATAAGACATTTATTACTTAGGTCAAGGAAATTTTATTGTATCCAAATTCTGATATTATTTATATAGTGATAAATATGATATCATTTATTTGATATTGTAGTTTTCATTTTTCAGAGGTGAGTCAGTCTGAATCAATCAACTTTACAAAAAAAGGCCAGATTTTAATAACAGGACATTCAAACCTATTTGATATTGCAAAACGTAGTAAATCTGGTCTGGTAGGACTTGGAAGAACGATAACATTGTAACTTGTTGAATGAACAAAGTAGCAAGAGAGGGACTGATATTCCATGTAGCCAAGCTACTCTGCTGAACTCATGATACATTAAATATGGTTCAAACTGTATTTCTTTTCCTGGTCTAATTTGTAGGTTACATCTTAGCTATTGCTGCTCACCAAGGGATCTCCTGTATAATCTTGTTACAAGTTGTGAGGAAGGGAATGGTGCATTTTTTGCGCACAAAAGAACTCTCTGAAAATTGTTTTAAATTAAACTGGAAATTTGCAAAATAATACAACCCCCAACCTGTAAGAGTAGAGTTGTGGGGTGTAGTTGAGTCAGAGACATTAGACTGTGCTGTCGAGGTGACAGTGTGTGCAGGTAAGGAAGATGGGACTGTGCTTGGGAGGTCAGAACTTCCTGGGAAGGTGCTTGTGGGTGAGACGTTGAAGTGAGAAGTTGCCCCTGAAAATTGACCAGAACAACATTAGATAAATATAAAAGAAATAATAACAATATGTATATACAGTACATACTGTAAATAACTCTGTTATTGAAGGATTGACACAACAAGTAAGAAAGTATTTTCAAAGCGTTCTGGAAATAAACATAATGAAAATTCACCCTGATAGTATGCTCAAGTGTTTCCATGTGAGTTTAAGTCAGAGAAAGAAGGTCTGTCAACAACAACAGAAAACAATAATATAATAATACTGTATAACAATTTATTGAGACCATTTAAAGAAAATCCAAAGCCCTGTACAATAGCAGACTTATATTATACAACTCAACAGTTGCAAATTATTGAATGGATTGAATCAATGCATGTAGAAATGCGCACTATACCCATGCAACAGATCCTTAAAATAATCTGGAACTAGATCATTTACTGCTAATTATTTTTAGTACATAACCTGGAGAACCTCTAATTTTCACAGGGAGGCCCTGCAATTTACAGGAGATGGTAGTCACAGTTCACCCCAGATATATATTCATAACCTCCCGAAGAAATAAGAACAAAAACGTCATATAGATGAATGAATTAAAGGTTAAATAATGTGTCTCACTTACAAAAATCTAATAATGTAATCATATTAATGTAATGTAATCAACTATTGCACAGAGCAAAGACATGTTTGTTCTAATTAATTGAATTCAGGAAAACAGAAGGGCCACATTTATTCAGACATAATATAAGCACTGATTTACATAAAACCCAGCAAAATAAATCTACAGTAACATGTAGTGAGTTCAATGGAAGCCTCCAAAACAATATATAGGAGTATAAAACATACTATAGCAATATACTGGAGTATAAAAGGAGGTAATACATAGAAAATATTCAGAAGCTGCATGCATCATCATGTTTAAGGACAAAGATACGTACCTTGGAAGACTTTATAAAATTCTAAAATTTCCCTTTGCTAAACACAATTGTGACATGTTTTTAAAACAATATTTGATGCACTGGCTAAAAGTAATCAATAGAAAAGTAAAAAGAGATTATTATAGTTATGAATGAATAAGTCTAATGCCTGAATGAAAGCTTTACATCTTTGTAAAACATTTATCAAAGGGGGCTTAAAACCTACCAAAGGAATTACACATTATGATTGTACCTCTACAAGATCAGCATAACCATGCTTTTTAAAGGAACAAGTAATAGGTTTATTCCGTGCTGAAAAGAGAAGAAAGAGAACACAAGTTGACACCTGAAGACAACGGCCAAAACGTTGTGTTTTCTTTCTTCTCTTTTCAGTATGGAATAAACCTACTTGTTCCTTTGCAGCCTACTGTATGCATGCTGACGCAGCTACCCACCTGAACTACATTTTTTTAATGTATTCATAAAAAAGGTATTAACATTATTTCATTTTTCCTATTGTATTAACTTCACATTTTTAATGTGAATGATACAATCAATGTGCCGCTATAATAAAGAGTTTAGAAAATGAATTCCTCTACAGTGCACCAGCTATAATATTGTCCAAAGGTTATAGATTAACTTTTTGAACTTTTTGTACAAGTGCTTTAGAACATACTTTACAGAAGCTTCTGTGGTGTTTTACTGATGATGACTGGAAGTAGCATTGCGGATCTGAGTGGATATGAGGCTGTGATTCCTGCTCTATGTAAATAATAAGCTAATGAGCTCATAACTTTATCCATATTAAAATGTAAAACGATTTTTAAAATGTTCTAAAGATGGATACAAAACTAAATTATGCTAATTCAATGGAAAGGGTTTTATGAAGATGTTATAAAATAAAAGTTTACCTGCAGGCTTAAGGGAGGTTGCATTGTGTGTTTGATTTGAAGTGGAGATTGTAGGATTGACTGTTGTTGATGTTTCTGTAAATTAGAAGCATGGCATTTAATACCAGAAAGAGCTCAAAGGAAACAGTTTACTTGGTAATATTTAACCTTGAAAACTATAAATCAACAGGGGGAAAGATTACTTAGATAAGAGATACTAATAAATGCAATTATATTCATATTAATACAGTATGTAAGAAAATTGGTAAGTGTGGCCCCTCCAAGTCACTTCATATAAAAGTGGCAGCCAAATACAGTAAGTGAAAGCTAAGTCAACAGCATTTGTAAATATTTATGGGTTTACAGGTGAGAGGGTGCTGGAAATAAAATACAAAAAATTAAATAAAACTGACATTATTACAGTATGTATATGCTCCAAAGTACTGTGCAGATTCTAATATCAAAGTATTGAACCAGCTGAGAAGTGGTGCTTAGTGTTTAAAACACTCTTAGGTGTTAAACGTGCCACCAACCATATCACCCTGCAACTCAGCACTGGCTACCCACCGAAGCTAAACAGGTGTGAGCCTGATCAGTACCTGGATGTGAGACTCCTGGGAAAAACTAAGGTTGCTGCTGGAAGAGGTGTTAGTGGGGCCAGAAGGGGCGCTCACCCTGCAGCCTTGGGGGTACTAATGCCCCAGTAGAGTGACAGGGACACTAAACTGTAAAAAGACACCTTCCTTCAGATGAGATGTAAAACCGAGGTCCTGACTCTGTGGTCATTAAAAAATCCCAGGGTGTTTCTCGAAAAGAGTAGGGGTGTGGCCAAAAAAAATCATGGCCTCCTAATAATCTCCATCTGTGAGTTGGCTTTATCACTGATAGCTGACATGTGGTGAGCGTTCTGACGCATTACGGCTGCCGTCGCATCATCCAGGTGGATGCTGCACATTAGTGGTGGTGGAGGGGAGTCCCCATTACCTGTAAAGTGCTTTGAGTGGAGTGTCCAGAAAAGCAATATATAAGTGTAAGGAATTATTAATTAATTATTATTATTAAAACCTTCATTTTCAGTCATCCAGCTATTACTGAAGTTGATGCCCTGCCTATGTTAAAATTGCACTACTACTGTAGTAATGTAATTACTATTTAGAATAGTGATCCTCATTCACTTAATTACTAGCTAAGAAAAGGAACTAGATGGACTGAATTTTATTATGATATGCATATGATATGCCCTGCATAAGACGGCAATAGTTTGTGCAGTTTCCATACGTGATTTCACACAACAGTATTGATTTTGCCAAAAACAATATAGAGTAGTTGACTGGGAGCAAAAGAAAACTGAGCACAAGCCTTAAGTGGAATTAAGATAATGATACACTTTCACCATGTTGAACTGTATTTAATTAAAGCTATAAGCTTTGAAGTAACATTGTTCAATTAATATTTAAAAAATATTGTTGATAAAAAAATACTATATACTGGATGACAACTTTACTGCACCAAAACATCTGTAGAAATAATAAAATGACAATATAATTACACTATGAACCATGAAGAAAACAACATTTTGTAGTATATGGCTTTCAAGGAATACTCTGAAGCAAAATCTAATTATTTCCTCAGCAATTACTACTGTATATGCAAAAAAGGAGAAAATAAGTTTACCTGTTGTATTGGAGTGAGCAACAGTTGGCGAAGTGGGTCCTGCATCTGTTAATCACAACCATGAGATTAAAGTTCAGATGGAGAGCATTTAATATACAGTATACAGTATGCTGTATATCGATTACAGGTGACATCATTTTATAGTAGGATCCGTAAAGGATCATTCTTTATTATAAAAATATAATATCAACAATATATATTAAAAGTCTAACCATTTTGTTCTCCACTATTTCCTGGAAAATAAAAATAACAATGCATACTTAGAATTTACTTTAATGTGTCTACTGTATGTTAAATATACCCTTGTGAGATTTATATACAGCATATATACAGTACATCACAAAACCTAAATATCTAACATACTGTGGAATTACAGAAATGGAAATGTTTATCCTCAGATCCTCAGTTTGCTGTGTAAAAGTGACCACCAAATGACTTGTCATTGGCTTGCATTATTTGTACAACATACTATAAGGGTGAAAATTGAGATGCTCCTTATTACTTTTGGTTTGAACAATTAAATTGTATTCTGCTTGTGAGCTTGGCATTCTGAGCAAGAGATTAGTTTTCCACTAAATACCAACTGTCCTTAGGGCCTGTACCATACAGTGGGGTTCTCAGTATGCATAGAAGCAGATCCATCTACACGCTTCAGAGCTAAGTGTTCATCATTCCACTAGTTAGTGTTAAGAAAACACCACTAAACAAGAAAATAATGAGTACTGATGCTTTCATTTAATCTCTGCTTTACTTTTGTACAAAAATATTATTGTCAAGCAAAGAAATAGAAGAAAATCAATCTCGAATTTAAAATACTGAATCTTAACAAATAAACATCAAATTATATCATTTTAAAGGGCAAAGATTTCAATGAATAATTAGGAGTGTTGTACAGTCAATTTAACTAAATCATTTACGATAACCTTGCTCCCAAAATAAAGTTATTGCCTATACAATTTGGCACTCCTAAAAAATCTCACATTCAAATTAGAGTACAGTATTGGTCCAGATCTCAGTGTACCCAGTTTTGCATTTTAATTTCTGTTTATGCCTACTGTTGTTAATTTCTTCATTTTCTTCAGAATGCAGCTCAAAAGGAAAGGGTGTTGCTAACAGTGGTTACCAACCTCAGATTCTCAAAATGGCGTAACCTGGTTGCTATGACAGCAAACTCCACAGACGAACTGTTCTATTTCAGCATCAAACCACAACTTCCTGAAAGTGCAGTAGCTTTTCCAGTTTTGCAGAAGTATTTAAGTTGGTTTCATTTTAGTAAACTTTAGGTTTCATTTTACTTAGTCTGTCATTCATTTTAAAATTAATCCCCATAAAAATGTAATATGTTTACATGAATATGGTATTGGTTTCTTTGTTTGACACAATGACAATTGTTAAAAAACATTTTTTCTATGGATAATTCTAAATCTGAAAAACTGATTGAAGTCATTCAATCAAAATATATACAGTAAATAAACAGAAGAAGAAATGTAATCCCATATACATTTATAAACACATTGATCAGTTATTGCCATATTAAATGATAAGTACACTGTATTAAAGTGCATGCTAGCCATGTTTTCTTAAGCCTTGAATAGACAAAACATTTATCAGAGACATAAACACCTGCCACCTCCAATCATCCACATATCAAAAGAGGATCTATAGTATTCTTCCATAAATTATCTTTATCTGTAGTTGACAGTAAAAGCATTAAATAGTAAGCTAAAGATAAAAAAATATTATTCATATTCTAAAAATCATACAGTATCATGTTTTCAATGCAATTACAACCATCACATTTCTGTGTAGCATGCATGTCTTAATTCTTCAAGGTTTAAAATAGATAAAGTATTAGGGAAGTATAGGAAACTTACAAGTTAATTTAAACTTAAGCCATTATATCAAAGTGTTTGTTTTTAGATAGATTCTGGGCTCCTCGATAGAAATGATTCTATCAAGAGTAGAAAAGGGCAGACTGGGTGGGACATCAGCACTGCCCAAGCAACCGACATGAGACTTGTGTAAACCACTGATCCCTGACTATGTTTAAGATGTGATTTAGTTAACTAGCTGGTTATATCTGGCTACATCTTCAAGGGAATCAAAACAGCCAGTGTACCAGCTCGCTTCAAAAGGAATTTCTCCCATTCAATGCAAGCTGTCATTTTTGCAATGTGGCGTATTGAAGATGCAAGCCTGCCAGCTCAGGAAACCAGTATAACATAACATGAACATGAAAACTGCACAAACCAAGACATAAGCCGCTGAACTATCTATATCAGCCTTATTACTAATGTAAAAACATGAAAAGGTTTGTGTGGACAAAAGTGGGTTCCATTCTGAAGCTTCAATAGCATTTGTTTGAACGTAATGCGTTTTCTTTTGATATAATATCATTTTAACCAGGGAATAAATTAGACACTACTCAGTGTTGAGATCAATAAGGTATTGCTTTTTTCTTTTAGCAATGGAAATTAAATACTAATATACCATGCATACTAGAGCCATACTAGAGCCATGTGACATAGTGAAGTAACATTACTGATAATATTTAACATTTTAGCATTATTTATTGTAAAGGCCTAAAAGTGTAAGGTTGTATGAATTATTTTCTCTCCCTTCATTAGTACACAATGATTACCAGGTTAGCATGTTCCATTCTTATTTCAGATCACTGTACACATTTATGTTATAGTCCAGAGCTTTTGGCCTATCACTAGTTTTGAGCATTTTAGTGCAAGAGCTATTGAGACACAGACTTGGCTTTATCTTCCTTGGCAAATGGAATGATAACTTGACCATAAGGCCTCATTCATTATACTAGAGATAATAACTTGTAAAATAAAAAGTGATTTGACAATTCATTTGTTTTTGGGTTGATGGAAAGTTTGTACATTATGGGTAGGATTAGAGAGCTGGTTATCCTCCACTCACAAATGTAATATTGTTTTAACCCCATCACAATGCCTATTACAAGATACACTGCATGATCATTGTTTGATTGGCCAAACTGTGGTATACTCAGCTGTAATTTTAAAGAAACTCCTGTTGGAATGTTGGAAATCATCTTTAGTATCAAGTTTGCTAGAATGGAAATCCTATTTAAGACCTTTTTTAAAAACTGGAAAAGCCAGAAAAGATGTAGAACTATACAAATTCAAAGAATATGGAGACATGTCATGCAAACTTTGTATGAAATTTGAATGTGCGGATTAGAGTAGGTAGAGGAAGTCAATAACTGTATTGTGGTTATTGCTGTGATGATTGTACTACGCAATAACTTATTATTCTTACCTGTATGTCATTTCTTCTGTATTTTGTTATACTGTATATGGTGTTATACTGTATTTATATGCAAATGTTTTATTTTGTCTTAGTTGTATTGAAATAATAACTATGTCATTATAAAAATGGATGAGGCCATCAGAACCCCTCCCCTGGTGAAGTGAGCCAAAGAGCTGCAACAAGGACATTGATGGGATAGAGGGAGAGTTTCAAAGTAACACAAGGTAGGAAAAGGCTTGTGTATCACCCATTTTTATACAAAGCTTGGCGTGACAATTACATGATACTGCACATTGTTACATGATGTGACCCTGTGAATATGCTTTTCCTCACTTACATTTCTGCTCATTTAAGATGTTACATATTGTATACCATAGTAAGTGGGGTGGCACAGAGACACAGTGGTTAACATTGCTGCCTCACAGCACTTGGTTCAATTCTAGACCTGAGGTCCTATCTTTGTGAAGTTTGTATATTCTCCCATTGTTTGTGTGGGTTTTCTCCAGGGGCTCTGGTTTCTTCCCAGAGTTAAAAGAGAGAATTGTCCCTGATGTGAGTCTGCCTGTCTCTGTGTGTGCCCTGTGATGGACTGGTGTCTTGTCCAGGGTGTACCCTGCCTTGCACCTGTTGCTTGTCTCTGGCTTCCCCGTGACCCAGTGTTGGATTAAGCAGTTAGAAAATGGGTCAATATACCATAGTTAAGTATCATCTCAATTTATGGGAAACATATAGCTTAAAGTTAACACAGCATGTATTTTTGGATTTGTTTCATATCGTGTGTACAAATATTGAATAAACAACTCAATTGTAGATTGTAGATAAAGATGTTTATGTTAGCTCATTAAATTTACAGCAACATGTTAAGTAGTATAAATGGTGTGTGTGTTAGGGAAAGCTGAAAAATTCCTGTACATTAAAAAATATAAATCTGAAAGAAAAACCTGCCCCTCTAATATGCTAAATGCATTTACTGAAATACTTCAGATATTTATTTCACATCAAAAGAAATGAGAAACATAGTTGGCAGTTCCTGTGAACATGCTGTCTGCTGGAACAATAAATAGTCACAGGATGTGGTTTTCACTTTATCTGCACTGTGCGCCATTGTGATGCTGCTTGCAACAAGCTTATCGCATTAAATGATTTAGCAAGTCCACCCCCTGACATTTGGTGCAATTCAACCAGTAACCTTAGCCGGTCCAAGCTAATGGGTCACAGAGTGCTACTAAAGGAGTAGAAGGAATAGAAAGGAATGTCAAACATTTATCATTTCACCTGTGATTCACACAACAATACAATTATGAGACTGTACAATCAATTTGCATTTTCAAACTTGTGCACTGAATAATTTTTATAATAACAAAATATAATCTATGTCTAGTTTCCACCACAAAAAAACATGGAGCAGCAAAGTAAACCAGCATGTGTACTAGTTAGAAAAAAAACTATTTTGTAAGTTTGTAACTATTAAGAAAAAGTCACTACTAATCTTTAAATATTGACAGGATCGTTCGTATTGAGCATGATATTGTTTATTATAATCCTGGTACTTTTTCATAACTTATCTTTCGCGACTGCATCCCTGATTCCATCTTACTACTATTCATCATTAGAGCTGCACTGCTCAATAGCCTTTCCAGGAATGGCTTAATGTTTTACCTTTAAATTTGTTATGTCATGGTTTTCTTTTCACTGAATTATTGCCGTTCATCTATTGTATTATTCACTCCATACATTGTACTGTACTACATTTCTGGGCT